GGTGACTCACGGCAGCCCAGCTCCAGGTCGAGCTGTTGTTCAGCATCTTAGCTGTAGAGGGCGCAGCATCACTGGCCCTCACGTGGGATCCAAACCGGGGCCCTGCTGCTCAGAGCTGGCATCCCAAGCCAACTCTTAACTAACACTCCACTCGGCCAGCCCTGTCCCAAAGGTTTTTATATGTGGTATTTTCATTATTATTCAGCTCTAAATATTTTCAGTTTATATTAAGATTTCTTCTTTGCCTGTTTTAATTATAGAATATTATTATTATTTTTTTCCTTTTTGCTATAGATTTCTCATTCAGTGATATTGTGATCAGAGAATTTGGATCAAATGATAGCTGTATTTGAAACTTGGTTGAGGCTTTCATTATGGCTTGATATGTATTTGAAAATGTCATATGTTTGCTTGAGAAGAGTATCTATTCCTTTGTTATGTGGTTCACAGCTCCATATAAATTCTCTAGATTAGACTTACTATTTTATAGTCTGTTTGATAATTCCAAATTCTCAGCGTAAAGGTTTAAAATATTTTTTATTTATTTATTTTTGTCATGATTCTCATGCTTTATGGCTAGTTTCCTTGTGAGTTTCGTGATATTTTCTTGTGGTTTCATGTTTCTTGATCTTCCTGCATGGGAATGCTAGGTCCCTCAATCCAGAATGCTTTCTTCTAGAAAGGATATGTGGAGTTCGTTACAGCCAGTTAAGGCTCTGGCTAAGGCTAACTCTCTACTTTTCCACTAGTCCAAAGCTGAGGCTCTCAAGGCAGTGTTGTTGCTGCCAGAAGCAAACAGGTTTGTGGAGGGAAATGGACATTTCCCATTTTTAGAGCTTGCCAGAAGGTGCCTGTATGGATGACCATAGGGGGTGTTCTGAAATTTCTAACATTCTGTAAGTGGTTCCCTTGTACTCGAGTTTCTTGAGCCTGACACAATTCACTAGGATGGTACAGTATGTGACACTTCATACTTTCCCACCCCTCTCTTCTTGCTCCACCCCCATGTTTATTAATATCAAATTTTGTTAAAATGACACTGAGTGGTTTTGACAGAGCAAAGAAGTTAGGTAAGAAAGAGGACTTTATAAAAGCTTATCTATCAGGCTTTTAAAGCAGCAACGCAATTTCTTCTTCCAAAGCAGCTTTTTTGAATCATTGCCCAGTTGCTTGGATAATAAGGTAGAAATGTGAACAGTGCAGCCAAAAACTTTTCTTGATATAAATGAGTGGATGAGAAAATGAGTCCTAGGAAATCTCTATTGAAGCCACTGGAAATGCTTTTGGAAATAGTGATAAACAAGGAAATGAATTGTGATTTTAAGTACTTGAAAGGACTGTGGAAAATGAAAGTAGATTTTTTTTTTCTCTTAATTTTAACCCACTTTGCAATTATGACGAAAGACTGAGCGGAACTTAATCACACTCATAGATTCCTTCTGAGTTTATGACCCTGTTTCTAGGATTAGTGGAGAGTGTGATGCTTATGTTGCTAGGTATAGATTGAGAAAGTTATTTCTCAAGGAAGTTGATAAGATCATAAAAATAAATGGCTGGCAGGTATTTCATAGTATAGAATGTCTAAATTTAGGTGGTTTTTAGAGTCCTCATTTTAAGTATTTATCTATGACCAGACTATAGATAGACTATAGATAAGTTCCATGTCATCCAAACTTTGGAGAGTCTGATTATAAACAAGAATGTTATTTAATATAATCA